TTATGAAAATAGTATTGATGTTCATGTAACTATTGATATATGATAATGAAATTCAATATTAATTATTAAACCGTGGTCAAATATAGGATTAAATTCCGAAATCCCTTAAAATTTATTTATTGGTCCCAGATGGGCCAAATTTCATAGAATTATCTTGGAATTTGCGGTTAAGCCATGAGCCCATAAATTTAATAAAAATAATATGTTTCTACAAGTGAAAGATGCTTAACGATTTTATTTAGGCTTTTATACAAATCTATTTCTATCTATTTGACTGTTGTACGGATGAAACGGCTCACAAATAGTGAGCATGGGAGGTGGAATTTTTAAAAACATATTCAGAGTTGAACTTTTCAAACATATTCTGATTCATTCTTTCGATTGGAAAGAAAAATCTTTCGAACACGATGTATTTAACATACAAATTCGAAAATTATTTCATTAGAATCGAGTTACAGACTAAGCTCCCAGTATAATATTCAAAATTGGTGAATCGTCTAACTAGAAAAATATTTTATGAATCTTCTTAATATGCTAAAACCTTAAAGGTGACAGCTAGAAAGCGTTTTAGAAAATATATGTAAAAATCGTTGATTTAATAAAAATTTATGTCTCTTCTGAGCCTGCGTTAATTCTATTTCGGAAAATTATTGTGACGATAAATAAAGAAAATGGGGTAAATAATTTGATATTATCGACTACATTTTTATTTTATATCTGATCATTATTATTATAATTTTATTGCTAATTAAAATGTGGTTAATTATCATAATATAACTATAAGAAGGTACAATCAGTAGAAATGTAAGTTCTCAATTTTACATTCCTTGAATTGTCAGAAAAAGGAAAATATAAAACAAAACACCAAATGTAGTACTCATTAATAGTACTCTTAATACGGAATCTAACGAAACTATTTTATTTTACTTTAAAAACTGTATATATAAAGTTAAAAATCTCGGGAATGACTTGTCCGATTGTAAAAAAAATTACATTATATGAAAGGTCGTGGAAAGGCCTTTCGATTATGTGCAACATAATTATTAACCCATCGAGTGCCAAAAGCTAAAAAAATGACTTTTGTAAAAGTGCCCATAATTCGAAAAGTGGCCGATATAAGCACATATGGAAAATTTTTTTTTGTTTTCGATTTTAAATCAACTTTATGCATTAAATATTTCTTTCGTTTAATACATATTTTGAAAATTAAGTGATGACGAAACCAAATTTATACAACTTTACAAAATTTGCAGTTTTATGCATAGAATATTTGCGGCTCTTCGGTTATGGAAAATTTTAAAAAAGAAAAAAAAAAATTGTTATTACGCGTCGTTTGATGTTTATCACCAAAATATGCTCTAGAAGATATCACTGTGGTAGAAGCTTAAATATTGGAAAAACAAACAAGAAAGTTTCGAAAAAATGGCTTTTACGCGGAGAACACTAACAGCGTAACTTCAATATACCGTGTTATCGCGTGATCAAAATACTTTTAAATTTTACATGTTGAAATCATAAAGCCGCGGTAAAATATTAGCATGCAAAGATTTTAGAGCGAATACAAAAAAATTGCAAAATTTTCATGTTTTACTTTAGCAAATTTCCGCATTATAAAAAAATTTTAAGTTCTGAATTTTATCAGTAATCAATCTTTATATGGAAAGAATTGGTTTGCATCAAAAAAATTCAATCAAGGCCTTTCGTGGATTTCTCTCACCACAAAAATCGATGAAGCGCACCTAAGCCGCTAATTTAAATTGGGGACATTATACATTAACCGGTAGCTGACAATGATGCTAATACGAAAATCAATAAGCCGTGCGCGTTTTTGCATTAAAAAAGTGTAAAAAAGTTCATTCATGTAAATATATAAATTCTTTACAAAATATAAATTAACCGAACAAATTTTCATTTTAACGGTTTTTTTGCGTTAATAACTCATTTAAATTTAAAAATGATAAAAGCAGTTAATTGTAGATAAGCTGGGATATGTTAACTGCAAAAGCAATTTCATCAAAATTTCTCTTTCGCCGAAAACGCGGTGTTTCTTGAGTTACAAGAAAATTCGTAGAAGCACACCTAAACCGCTAATTAAAATTGGTAACACTTAACATTAATCGGTAGCTGACAATGATGCTTATACTAAAATCGATATGCCGTTAGAAAAAAGTACGATTTTGCATTAAATGCATTAAAAAAAGTTCGGTCATGTGTATGAAATTTATTTCCGAACTTTATATAGGTTTTTTTGGAAGCAGAAGATAATTATAAACAAGCAGTTATTGGCTAACCACAAAAATATTTGCATAAAAGTTTCTAGTGTGCAGAAAACGCAGTGCTTTTCTTTTAAACTAATTTAACACACCCTTCCCGCTAATTAAAATTAATAAAATTATATTCTTTTAGGTTGCTATTAATGAGGTCTTTATCAAAATCTATAAGCCGTTTGAAAAAATACAACCATTTTGGATTTAATGCAATTTAAAAAAATGCATTCGAATATTTGCATAAATAGATTAAAACCCCATAATTTTTAATCTACCAAACATAAATGCATAATTTTTTTTAGTTAATGATAGTAAATTAAGTATTAATTCATTATGTTAAATAGTCTATAAAAAATGTGTACTTAGTTTTATAAAAAAATATTTTTTGAAGAGGTTGAAAAAACTCTTAAAAAGCGAATTTATCCACGAATATATAAAATATTTGCGTTAAATTAATTTGTATTTTGTGTCCTTTGTTGTGGGTTATATCCACTCTTATATTTTTGAATTTCAGGTAAAAATGTAATTTTGGGATTTTTTTTTAAACTGTTAACTTTAAACCGCTATAACTTTGGCGGCTTTTGCTAAAAGTTATTCACGAGAAGATAATTGTACTTCTAAGATGTTAGACAATGTCCACACAAAATATCGTTAATGTGCTATTAAAAAAATTTCATATTTTTTTGAACCTCAAAATCTAAATTACAAAGAGAATTTCCCATATGTTATCCGAGTTGAATCCAATATCTCGTAGACAAAAGAAGAACCCTTTATTGATATTCCTATATAAAAAGAAGTTCTTATCGTAAGCAGACCACATTTTCACTATTATTACAGCATCCTTAGATCTACTTGTATGTTTGTTGTTCTGCTTCTTATATATATTTAGCTGGTATAGATTTATCGATAGTATTACATAAATTACAAAAAATATTTATTCTCATTTTCGCAATATCGTATCTCACTTAATAAATGTTCACATGAAACAGTATGATTCTCCTGATGTCTTAACTTTACTTTCAGACTATCTATTTCCTTTTGCATTGTTTTTACGATGACCGCTGCTGTTCCAAACTAGAGACACCATCAGCTAATGACAATTTTTGAAAATTGTGAATTTCATATCAAGTTCTTTTAAGAGTTCCTCCTCATAATCACGAAATTTCACTTCCATTATATTTTGAAGCTGTGCAGAAAATTTATCAAATTTTTTATCGATGCTGGAAATTATGTTTGGGGAAAAATTAACATTTGACAGACGAGGCGATATTGTTGTATTGCCCAGAAATGAGTTTTGCAAATTCCGTAAGCGTTTATGAGTGGGTGTAGGAGTAGACACTTTTGTAGAAAGGCTTATCTCTTGTTTACCTTTAAAAGTGCAAACTTGGCACCACTTTTCTATCACCAGTATTTGTGTTTATAGAATGTTTTGTATATAAATTATATTTTAAATAACAGTTTTTCAACTTAAATGACACAGATGGTGAAAATATAAGATTTGCTCCCACTAAGAATACAAATATCCAAGTGATAAGACAAAGTGTCATAAATAACAAGATGAACTTATTATTTTTTTAGGAACTAATATTAGATTCGACCGTACTGTGTATAAGTAGGTTCCTACTATAGTGCCTTCGAAGTGGACTTGGGGATCTTTATATCTCGACAATATAATAAGCCCAAGCATTCGATAAAGTTAAAAAACATTAATGTATGAAAAAAACACTAAAAAATAAAATTGCTCAGAGCCTTTAATCCAATAAATTAATGTTGGACGATAGTTGATCAAAAAATTGCGATGTAATAGTGAATAAACATGGATTTTTTTTGAAAATAATGATATAGAGGGAAAGCAAGGGGAAGGAAATAATAATGATAAAAAATTGCCCTAATTGAGTCAAAATGGTTTATGATATCCAAATAATTAAAACAGGACAAGATATATAAAATGTGTACTTTATTATGTCTGTCAAAAAATAAATTCACTTTAATTTTAAATATTATACAAAAACTAATAAAGTAAAATAATTTTGTTGTATTGTTATTTTTGTAGTAATGTAACTACATGAATTAAATGTAATTTTCCAATTCTAATAAACATTTAACAGTTTTTTCGCTGAATAATATAGCATGAGTACTTTTGCACTTTTTTTGTACGATAGTGTATATGAGTTGTGCGATTTTTTCTAACAAAATCAAATCATGAGAGAGCCAATTTGATGTTGGGGACGCTTTTCTTTCGTATTCAATATGAATTCCCAATTTTCAAGAAGTAAAACAGAAAAATAATTGTTTCATAAAGTAAACATTTAAAAAAGAGCTTTAAAATGAAATAATATGAAAAATAATTCATATTTAAGCTATAATTAATTTCGTTTCTCTGTTAAATTGTGTTTTAATAAATATTGAAGATGTGTTTTCTTCTTTCTTTTTTACTACATCGCTTTTAATAATATAAAAATCCAATTGGCTGTTCACGAGCAGATATCGGAATGTTATATTTTAATAAACGATACAAGCCCATTTGTGATTTGGACTAATAAGTGCAATTGTTTATAATAAAATGTTTTCAAATGTAATCGAAGTCAGTTAAAGTTTCAAGAATACCAAGAATTCATAATTTCGAGCAAAACAAAAAGTACTTTGGAATTGGTCTGAATGGGCTATATATAAAATATTTTGTATAATATATCGAATTCAGTTTATATTACCAATATTTATAAAAATACTAACCTCAGATAACATAACTATAGTAGTAATGCTTTGCTCCGATACCATTCTCCAGAAATCTTCTATTGTATTTTCCAACGGATCTTGAGTGATAATAAAGTTTTCGGAGTTATCATATCCTTCAATAAATGATGCGTTTATATAAGTTGAATTTTCCTTATGTGGTAGTGGTGACAAGATAACCTAATTTGGATTAAGAATTTACTGTTAGATATAAACTATGTATGTTTTAAATATAAATCAGTATTATTAATTATTTATGAAAGATCAAAAATAATAAATATTATGTTTTTGTAACTAGCAAATATTTATTAAACGTAAAATATTGAATGATACACTACATCAAGGATTTGGGTGAATTATATAATGATACTTAAGTTTAAAAGATTTATAATATTTACGCAGAATTATGTATTTTGTAATATCAAGCCTAAAACATATATCCGATTTCATCTCAGGTGACCCAACTTTTGAAACCGATACACAGTGATTCGTTTTCGTACATTCATTGGACAAAAATAGAAGGACTTATTGTATGGTAAAGATTGGTATAGTTAAGAAAAATTCGAAGTTTAGAAAAAATTGGTCCAAGGATTCATAAACTTCCCATATATTCCAAAATGGAAAATAGCGATATTTTGCACAAAGTTTGTAATAAAATTCTGAAACTTTCTAGTAATATTATATAAATAATCAGGATTCATCATGTTGTTTTTTAATAGTTTGGAGCAAGGATTCTTATAGCTGTCATATATAATTTTTACTAAAAATGCTATAAAATCTTTAAAACCTTTAAAATCTTTAAAACCTAAAATATTTGTGTGCAATTATGTTTATGGATTGGTCCAACATACATAAATGTCCATACCAAAATTTGTTGAATTCGTCTTAATAATACAGAAGTTTTCGCAAAAACTGTTTTCTCATTACTAGTAATTCTACTCTAGTATAGTCCACGTATAATAATATATAATTGTTCCTACAACTATTCGGATTTTTTTATAATTGTAATTGTATGTGTTAATTCGATATTTTTATGAAAAAATATTTCTATTCAAGTGGTAGAAACGCCTTTTTATTTTTTTTATTTGTGAAAAAATATTGTCATTTTGATTTTAACTAACACCAAAAATAAATCGTTATTCAAAGAATGAAAAATTACAAAAAATATATAATTATAACAATTATGTTAAGAACATCATTTATGTTAAGAACATCATGAATGAACATGATGAATCATTGAAATCATAATTTGCTAGAAAAACGCGACTATATACATATATAAATTTTTATGTTTTTATGTTCACGAATATGCTGTTACAAATTTTAAGAATTTGCAAAATATTGGTTCTGTTCTCTCTTGTTTTCAATTAACAACCCAATGGTCTTCAATAATGAGTAAACAAATTTAAAAAATATTTACTAACTTTTTCCATTTATTTCATCAAACTTTGTAAATTTTAAGTATTTTGTCTGCTCAGAATATTTTGAGTGTAAAATCAATTTTAATTTAAAAGAAATTACAAGAAATATATAATATGTATCAACATTCATATTAAGTACATCATGATGAATCGTTGAAATCATAATTTGCTAGAAAAACGCGATATGAAATATTTTTTTTTCCTAAAAATATGTTCACTAACACAGAATAGATTTTGCAAAATATAGGAAAAAGTTGGTTCTGTTCTCTCTTGTTTTCAATTTACACCCTAATTGCCTTCAAAAATGAGTAAAAAAATTTTAAAAATATTTACTAACTTTTTAAAAAAGTTAAACAAAATCTGTTATATTTTTACATTTTTATTTTAATGTTTGTAACAATTAAAACATCATATTCAAATCAATGTAGCAGATGATATATATAAGAGACAATAAAAATAAAAAAATGTTTATAATGAAAGAGCCAGGTATTATTTTGGAAAAGAAAATATTGAAAAATCTCCTACGGTTAATTTGAGAATTATTTTAGTGTCTGCATATAAAAAACATTTAAAACAAATCTTTCTTTTTGGTTAAATATTACTGGATTTCTAAGCAATTCGTATTACAAAAATATAATTTATACTTTTTTAAGAAGGATATTTTGCAAGCTTTCAGAAAAATTTACAATTTTTAATTTTACTTTCGATCATATTTTTGTCTATGGAACGAATCACTGTGCGATGGTTTGAGATGTTATTTGTAATTTTGTAACTAATGTGATTTGCACCAACGATTTTTGCAGAACTTTTCAACAAGATCGGTCAAGAGCTCTATGAGTTACAGTTTCTCATCCATTTGACTTAATTACTATTGGTCTTAAGTCGCTTTATCTAGGATGTATTCTTATGTAAACACATACAAAAAAATTAAACAGCTGTTTCCATCATACTTTGTTATTGTGTTATACCAATAGTGTAAACGCAAAAATATAAATCATACGACTTTTATTATCTTTCTTAAAATACGGATGGAATTTCATTTGATTTTCTGTTTTGAATGTTAGTATTATGTGGGTTTTAATAAAGTTTTCAGAAAAGCAAAAAAACAGTTTAGAAAAATATGTATCTTTTCAGATTCGTTAACCTTTGCATTTTCAAGGTTCGCAGATTCATTTTTATTCCATTATATAAAAAAATTTAAAAATTTAAACTAATTACACAGTGATACAGCAAAAAAATGCAGGGGTTCTCATATACCAATTCCATTTCGTTATAGTCCATAGAGTAGGAATATATTTTTAATTTTTCCGATCACTTCGTTTAGCTCCCTTTTAAGAGCAAAAGATGTGAAAAAGAGCTATTTTTGAAGTTTTAACTTTAAAAAAATATATGTTTGGTAGTTTGCAACCGATTTTCAAATTGGATATTTTGTTTTAAAGATACAAGTGTTGTCTTTCAACCCAAAAAAATAAATCCAAAATTTATGATTAATGTCTTGGTTACGGCCATTTAAGTAAAAAAACTCACACTTTTTTCACAATTTTTAATTTTCATACAGCTCTACGTTGGCCATGAAGCAGTAACTTTAGCTTTTATTACATTTGAAAAAAGGCACATTAAGTTGGGTTTCCAATGATGGTCAATTTATAATAATCGATGAAAAGGGTTATAAGTTGTGCTAAGTTTTATAAAAATATTGCATATTTCTTCCATACAAAAACGTTCATGTTTCTGGTTTTCTTTGTAACAAGTTTAAAAAATTTTTATAAACATTTTTATACAAAAATTAATTTGTATGGAAAAAACCAAAAATTCGAGGAACATGCTATTAGAAAAATTGGCATAAATCATTCAGTTTTTCATAGATTTTTATGAAATAACAAGTTTTAGATTCTTCAGGAAAGTAATAAAAGATGAACTCACTGCCTCATGGCCAAAGTAGAGCATGATGAAAATGAAAATTTTTTAAAAAAGTGTGAGTTTTTTTACTTAAACGACCGTAACTCAGACATTTGACCATAAATTTTGGATTTCTTTTTTTGGATTAAAAGGCAACACTTGTATCATTAAAAAAATATCGGATTTGAAAATCGGATGAAAACTACTAAACTTATGATTTTTCAAATTTAAAACTTCAAAAATGTCTCTTTTTCGCATCTTTTGCTCTTAAAAAGTAAGTTAACGAAGTGATAGGGGAAAACTAAAAATATATTAGTACTCTATGGACTATAACGAAATGGAATTGGTATATGAGAACGCCTGCATTTTATTTTTCTTCACTTTTGTATCACAGTGTTATTTTTATTATTATGTTTTTATTTTTAGTAGCTGTAAAAATCCGATATTTGTATGTCAAAAATAAACCACATTCTTTCAGTGACACGCTCCATCACTAATTTATCCTTGATAATGATATCCGAAGAATATGGAAATATTGAAAAAAAATATATTTTATAAACGGTTGAGCTGGATAAGAGACGAACTATCAATAAAAAAATTAGATTATTTTCCAAAATGGAATTTTTAGAAAGATGGGAGTGGGAATATCTATCAAAAGACAAAGGTTTTTAATTTTGAAAATGTGTGTCTTTTTAATTAAGGAACCTTCGTGCAAATTTCATCCCGATCACAATAAATCGATTTTAATAGTTCGATAACTTGAGATGATAATAGCTTACTAAATATTTTTGAACATACTTGAACTTCAGTTTCATTTTGTATGAAAAATTTGTTGACGTTTATTTTATATTAATTTTAAAATCAAAAACTATCAATGAAAATTTATTCAAATTATATAAAAAACTATTAGAAAATTAATAAAAATGTCTACAAGATCAAATAGTGATATTGTGGCCGCAAGAAGATAATCGCGAGTTTTAAAAAGAATTGGTTGCTAGCATTGTGAACAGCCCCTGAAAATGTTGCTAGCATTGTGAATCCGGCTTACCCCTGTTAACACCAACTCCTGATATCGTTTAGATATTCTGCTGGTTAAAATAATTTTTGTATGAAAACTGTCAATTTAATCTTAAGATAAAATATAACCAGACATTGAGATAATGGGGGTTAAAAGATTAAAATTTAAACTTTAAATTTAGACATTTTGCTAGAAAATTGATATTTGAAAGAAATATTCTAGTATTTTTTAATAACTGATCAAAATGTGGGTAAATGTAGACATAAACTTTTAAATAAAAATGTTTCAATTCGATTTTTAAAATTAATGTTCTAAAAAGATATATTATTTTAAAGCTACGTTCAGACCTGTAAAATATTTGATCCAAATATTTGTTATAAAATATTTATAAAGTTGCGTCAATCGCAATATTTATTTCATGTTCAGACTTGAACAAATATTTTATGGTATTGTTTTATCAAACGGAGCAAAAATAATTTGGTTCAAACACACACATGGTTTGCATTTTCATGCTAGAAAAAAAAAAAAACAATTTACCAATTTGTTTTAATTTTTTTAACTATTTTTATTAGGTTTAAAATTAAATGTATATAATAAAAGTGTATAATATTAATAAATAACACGATTGAAAAAACTTTACAACAAAACTGAACATAAAATATTTCATGTTAACAAACTGCAATGCGGATGATTTTCATAAAACGAATTGATTTGCCGGCAAAAAATACCTTCTTATTGTTTCATCAATGTAAACACTAAAAGGCAAATAATTTACATAATTTTGGCAAAATAATTATTTGATCTTGCAAACCAAATGTTAAGCGCCATGGCGACACATCAAA